CATTTCTTTAAAATATTTTGTGATGAATAAATAACAACAATTAGATGGAAGAAAGTCCTACTGTGCCAAAGGGTAAGTCTGAATCATAATTGCTAAATGGATAGAAAAGAGCAAGAGTCCAGTAGCACCTTAAAGACTAAAAATGTTAATACTCTTTGGTTGTGGTCACACGCACCAGAAAAAATGTGGGGGAAGCAAGGCTATTTCTTCCAGAGGAATTTGACCCGCAGTTGTACAATCACACCTCCCTTTGAAGCTGTGGGCGCAGTCCGTCAGTGTGTGATCAGATGCAAGTGTGGGTGAGTTGGGGGAGTTTTGTGCCATTTTTTGTGCCGTTTCCCCTATGCACCATGAATTGCACCTCTGCACCGAGGGCTCCCTATGGAGTTTGCGATGATGCGCATACTGTGAAGGGGGGGGGAACAATGGCACAGAGTTGGAATGAGCTGATCAGACCATCTCAATGCCATGAGTGCGCGCTGGAGCAATCAGACAGGGGAAAGTCCGTCCATGCACAATCGCAGCCCATTTACTACCGGGTTTACCCTGGTGTCTTTTAACTCTGCTCCTGTGTCGGAGCAGAACAGGTTGCCAACAACTGCGGGGAGCTTCCCAGATGTTGTCTGATCACGTCCTTTAAATCCGCCAGGCATTCACACCTATGTTGGGTCTAATTGTCCGTATGATCACAGCCTTTAAGGTGCTACTGGACTCTTGCTCTTTTCTACTGCTACAGACAGTCTACCATGGCTACCCATCTTGAGCTACATGGATAATTCTTCAAAAATGGAAAGCAATAGCTATGCCACATACTAGACCTTTCAGTAAAAGAAAGAGTTGCTTTTAATAGACAAGGAACAAACGTGAAGTATGCCATTTGGTCTGAATGTGTGGATTTATTTGGATATTAGAAACAGTGTATTAGGTTGTTTACACGTACATACATGTACGTGTATTAGGTTGTTTACAGTATGGGATTAGCTGGTTGCTTCAGGGCCAACAAAGAATTTTTGGGACTGTTTCTAATGGGCTGTGAGTTCTTTTTTCAGCTGCTTCATACTGTATTAGGATTGCCAGGTAGTGCTTGGCAACTGGCAGGAGAGTTGTGTGTGTGGGGTGGGGGCACAGCATCATGGGAGGAAAAAAGACAACCTTGTGTACTCACCAAAAGTTTATACAGGAAGTGACAAGAGTAGCTCTAGGAATCAGCATACAGTTTCTAGTGATTCCTAGAGCTACCCCTTTCACTTCCTGTACCAACTGCTGGTGAATATTTGAGGCTGCTTACCTCCCCCCTTTTTTCCTCTGCCACCACTCCAAGTGGTAGCAGGTAATAGGACCAAGGGAGCTTGGCAGTCCTAATTAGGGAGTTTAAGTAGACCTGATTACAGCAGACTAATAAAACTGCAAACTGAAGGTGTAGGATTTACATTCCTGGTGTGCCCTTATATAGCACATCAGGAAGAAAGGTTCTAGCCTAGCCTTTTGCAGGTCTGTGCCTATAAAGGGAATTATTAATAGAGGGGGTCTTTGAAATATGAAATCCTTCCCTGGCCATCTGAAATGGTACAGTGAGTCTATTCTCTCACGTCAGTCCTCTTCCTCTTCATTTCCACCTCATTCTGCTGCAGGTGTAGAACAGGCCTTAACAGATCCTACGAGAGTGATCCCTCCAGTAAAAAAAAAAGTCTATAGTGAAGTTACTTTTTCACACTTCTGGGTGACCTCATTTAACACAATGACATCACTGTCCAATAAAGCCTGACAAGATGCCAGCATAGGCATGCGGACTGCAGACTTCTGAGCTCTTTAACCACAATATTGGCATGTTATGGCCAACTGTTGCTTATTTTTATCTCCCATGTCCCTCCCTCCCTTGGAGTCTGGCAGCACAACTGGGTGAGTGAAACGGTTTAGACTGAAGTTATTTTGGGAGCAATTAATTTATAAAGTGTCCCAAATATGTGCTGCTCTTGAAGGCAGGAACAAATATTTACATCTCGCCAGCATCACATCAAGCTTTTGGAATGCCTTATGAACATGATACTTGGGGGAGAATGATCTAACCTCTTTGGGCCTCTTTATTGGTCTATACAACCAAACATGTTTTTTTTTAAAAAAAAAGCTTTCAAGAGTTAACTGATTTTGGCCTAAACCAAATGGTAAAACTACACAAAAAATGCAACAGGAAATAAACATTTTCCAGTAGGGCTACCGGCAATATATGCACGATTACTAATAGAATGCTTGCATTTTCTCTGTGGCCTCTTTTTATATTTTTCAGGATTTCTGCTAAAATACACACAGAAACACACTGCTAGCTTTCCTGAACAAGAATGAATTTTCTGCCGTACAACATGTTAGGCTGTCCTAAAAACAGCCTGCTAAGATTCAGCAATGTTTTAGAGTCCTTTGAATGGGAAACTAAGGTCCTGTTCACACTAGGCGATTTGGGCCGGGAGCGGGACAGTTCGGGGGCGGAGCAAACAGGCGCGATCACACCACAACATCTGGGAAGCGTGGTGCTTCCGTCCAAGGGTGTAGACTTTCCAATTTCCCGGGGGGGGGGGGCTACAGGCATTGCTGTGCTAGGAGCAAGGGTGGCTCCCGGGGGAGGCTGAGCACCTTCCTGAAAATTTCGGTGGGGGCTGAAGCCCCGCCGCCCCCACAAAGATTACGCCTATGCTTCCGTCCCCAAACTGGCCCTTCCCCGCGAAAATCCGCCTCAACTTGCAACCACCTACCTTGGTGGTTCATCGGGAAGCTGCGCGGCAAGCCGGGCCATTTGATCGCCGGCGCGTCCTTGCGCCGGTGCATCCCTGGCGCCTAACTGAACTGCACATGCTCGGACATGCGCAGTTCGGGAGGCTCCCTGTCAGGGCCGTGTTTTCTCCCCGGCGTCTGATCGTGGGATCCCGCCGCGCCGTTTCAACTTTGGCGCGGCTTTTAAAAGCCACGCTTTTGGGCGGCTTTCCCCCGCTGTGTGGCAGGGGCCTAAGTTTACAACAGTAATTAAGCCCATAGACATCTGGCATTTTCTTTTACAAGGCTAACTTTAAATCTTTTGTCAGGAGTCCCTTACTTAGGTGTCAGCATATTCACAGTGCCATCTTAAACATAGCTATGCCCTTCTAAGCCCACTGACCAGCAAAGGCAACAGGAACAAAGCAGAAATTTGTCTCCAAACAGTCGTCTTGGGGATTGCTCTGGAACAGCTGTGTGCCAAGCACAGCACTATAGCAATCAGAGAGTAGGCAGATGTAGGTAATCACTTCCCCAAGATCAGATTGATGAAGCCTGCTTGTCTGCTGAATTATTTCTTTTCCTCCATATTTCTAAAAAAGCTGTGGTACAAAGGACAGGCCATCTCAGGTCAATGTCAGATGCTATCATACACCCCCTTTTCAGCAACTTCTAGATCTCAAATGCTGATTCTTTCTTAGGATTGTCTGCCATGATGACCCCAGTATCTAAGTATGCCCTGAATAGTTCGGTTCAGAAACCACTCTTCATATGACTTATCAGGGTAGTTTTTCTCACTGCATTACCTTGTATTTGTTTAACACAAAATCTCCCAGCCAGTCTCTTACTAGACTCCAAGCTACAGCTGCACCATTGTCCTTTGGAGTTGTACCTAATTTACTTTGGACTTAATTATCCTAAATAGTAAAAAGTAATTTTACAGCCTTGGGCCCTTCATGCTTTGCCCCCTTCTCATTATTATTTATGTATATGTTTAATGGTCCTACTCCCAATACAAGTCTTTGTAGAAATAATTTTAGTCCCAAATATGACAGACAAATGATTGTAGAATCTGGAGAGTAGTGAGGAAGCAATCAGGCTGTGGTGACATTGATGATAACAGTTCTCAGACAGCCAAGTAGTCATGAATTAGGGTTGCTAGACCCCCCCTGGTGGAGGCTGGGGTCCCCCAGCGGCAGATCCTACCTCCAGCTGCCGATCAACTGGCCAGCAGGGGAGACTTACTGGGAAAAAAGAGAAGGTCTAAGCCTTGTTGCTGGCATTGCACAGGAAGTGATGTCATCACACCAGCATCCAGGTGACACTCTGGTATTTGGGCAAAAACTCTATGGTAGAAGCCAGTTTTACCAGAGTTTTTGCCCAAATACCAGAGTGTCACCTGGACATCGCTGGCATGATGATGTCACTTCCTGTGTGGTGCCACCACAAGGCCTAGGCCTTTCTATTTCTCCTTGTAAATCCCCCCCCATCCCCCGCCAGCTGCCAGGAAAGACCTGGCAACCCTATCATGGATGCTATTTGGGTACTTCAGCAGAAGATAAATAAGAAACAACAACTTTTTAAAAACCCTGCATGTGTAGACAGGAGGGGTCATGGTCCTTGCCTTCCCAGCCAGGAGCTGGCATGGAGAGGTGGGAAGAAGGGGGA